TGATTATAGCTAAATGCACTGAGCGGGTAATAATACCCGTATACCCGGGTAAGCACATGCCACAACTTGGCAAGAGTTGAAGCTAATTGCAAATCGCAGATCCGACAACAATTCTCCACCACCTGCGCCTGCCCTGAGAAATGCCAGCGTTTTGCCGCCATCTTCCAACATTTATACGGTAAGCTGATGTTAGTGCTAATTGCGTCGGTCGCGCGCACGCATGCGCACAGCGTGAGTACCGAGCGGCGGAACAAATTCGTACTATGTGGGTTATCGATTTTATTATGACCTAATAGGTGTAGTTAATCGCGGCAGACGCCGATTCGCGCGTCTTACTCTGTCCGCTCTCGTGTCTCGTATGCGTGTTCGCCTGTTAAGCCGAATGGGAGACACGTCGCGCAACGTATAACGAGGAAATACGCACCGGTAATGCTTACGAGTTACTGCTGCTTGAGTATAGCCCACGTAAGTGAAATAAACATTCAGTAGCTCTCCGAAAGGCGCGCGAGACTTAAGTTCGGGAGCTTTTTCCGAATTTCGTTGAATTTCGCACGCGCGCAGGAAGCGTAACGCAATGTTATATCTGCCTATTTTATTCCGATGTTATATATTTATCCGGCTGTCAAAGTTACAAAGTTGATGATTCTTTCACCAATATATATATATATATAAGGTTACAAACGTTATCCATTGCGGAAATAAAACTTGCTTGCTATATTCTCGTTTGTCTCGCAATGGGTGGTCAACAAGAAAATTGGAGAACACGACGTTTCGTGTGCTACTGCAACACTTCGTTGTATATATATCTACGCACATACACACACACACACACACACACACACACACACACACACACACACACACACACACACACAGTCCCTTACACACCCCACCTGACAGCCACGCTACCACACCCGTGCTTGCTGTAAATGTCAAGACACCGCAGGCACATCGACCAGCCCTAACGCGTAGAGACAAAATCGTTGGGACTGGTCCCAGCCACACATCAGTGACAACGAGCGGAGTTGGGTCAATATTTATGCGCGTAATTATAACATTCAAGCATACAAACAAGCGTACAAATAACAATAGTAGCATCGCGAACACTTATATATATATATTATATACATACATACATGAGATCGAGTTAACTCTCTCGTGAAGGACACATTCATTTCGTTTACATACCAGGTGTCAAATATCTCACGCTTGCATCAACTCGCGTTAGATCGATTCACCTTCTACTCATATACTTTTGAGTGCAGCCTCTTCCTACATGCAATGCCCATGCGGTACATGGCCAGGCTATCACACACGAGGCCCCCAACACTTCCAGGAGAGAGTTATCCACGTACATGCTTAAGCGTGGTGAGTTCCCATCAGTGAGTAGACTCAGGCGGTGCCAATCACGTACCCAGATGCCGCTACGGTAACCAGATTAGTTAAGCATGAAAACCTCGACGGCAGTGAGTTCCTTTTTTACCCATCTTTTATTTTGCTTTCATGTATCGCTGAATTCCCTACACCCTCATTGCTGTATGTCGTCGTCCCCAACTGCCTAGTAACAGAACGCCCATCTGTGACGGATGGTACCTGAAAAATTGATTATAGAAAGATAAATAGATTTTAAAGGCGGCGAAGGCAGTCAGTACTAACATGTATTTCAAGAGCATGGCGACAGAAACTGTTTACGCCGTAAACGGGTTCGCATCGAATTTTTCGAGTTTAAGCTTTTTGCGAATAATATTTGATGTGGATTAGCAAATTGCAAATCATAATTATTTGATGTGGATTAGCAAACTGCAATCAATGTTTCCGTATCGTGCAATGAATTTTTGATTGCATGATTTTCACTGATCTTTTGTTTCGAAGGATTCACATCGTTTTCGATTCGTTAAACGATCATGTTTACATTTAAAAGAAAACATGTTTACATTTTTTTAAAGAATACTTGCTAATTAATTCATCTAATTGTTAAACAACTTCACCCTTTGATTATAGCAAAGCGCTAACCAAGGTAAAACAAATCCATGGAGTACACTGGACGCGAATGTTCTTGACGCATGCATGTGGTTAGCTAATTATGAACTATATCGCGTGACCATGCCGCAGGAATATTTGTGAGAAGATTATATCTATTTCAATCGCTACAGTTGTCGGCCGATGTTGTCGCGTAAATGCGCAACAGCTCATCGGGAAAAAAAATTCTAAAGTGTCATCCTACGTTACGACCGATCGTTTGTCCTGCACTTCCCACACGCGCGTTCTCGTTTTCCATTTGCGCTTACCTTTTGAAAGCTATAGCATATATATTGTAATACGCAAAAACGCATTTCTTTCAAGAACGCGGAGTTTAAGCGAAGGCCTTGTACGCTACTAAAATTCTAAACTCGTTTTCCTTCGCTAAATGTTCAGCTAAAATGTTGTCAAATACAAAACGTCGATACGAGTGGACAGTACGGTTGTTCCGCGTTAACTTATATCACGGCATCATTTTCACACATACGTTTATATACGGGTGCTTATATACAGTCGTGTAGTCTGTTCATTTATACGTATGTGTGTATTTAGTCGATTCCTGTGTGGCCATCGCGGCGTCGACATGTCCTGCTCATCATTTACTACGCGTCGGTGACAAACGTAACTAGCTCGTGTAAGGAAAATCTTACACGGAACTAATGGGCCGAAAATGATGTGCAAAACCTATAGTTGCGTTCATTTATTCAGTTGATTCTAATGCCGGCACCTGCCTGTATACCTATTGTAATATATTATTAAAGCGTACCAACGCAATGACTGACTACGGTGTCATGTATTATATAGGCCTATATATATATTTCTTGTGTTGTGCGCAACCACTCTTTATATAGCACGACATGTGCTCTGATATATTATGTTAATCGATGAGTGAAGACAGGTGGGTGTGAGAAAGAGATTGCTGGTACGGCATATATTAGCCATCAGCTCCTTGGAGCATTCCTTAACGAATGTAATGGTTTCGTGAGGAACATAATAATATCGCTCTTTGCGCGTACAAGGCAACAAAAGTTCCATTGCTGCGAGTGAGACTATATTATATTATATTATATATATATGTGCATATATATATATATATATATATATATATATATATATACTATATACAATGTACTTATTTCAACATTATATCTATACAATCGCATGAATAAGCGCATCTTATTAGATTTTCAATTATTCAAACGATGTCATGATTAAATGCAATGTTATGAATGTACAATTGCATAATTTCAACTCGGTAATTATGCATGTTATGAAATGAATACGAAACCGTAACATCGAGTTATTATCATCAATTGAAGTGGCGTTTATTGAAAGTGGAGGAGAGCTTATCACTATACAGATGTTTATGAATCACGGCATAATGAAACAGGACGTTGAATTACTTGCACGCGCGCACACACACACACACACACACACACACACACACACACACACACACACACACACACACACAC